AGCCATACGTCCTCACAGCTTAGAGGGAACATCTTACTGAAATTCGGAAAACTTCATGCTAAGACTGAACTAATGGCAGTCAGTCAAGAGCAGGTAATCATTCTGGCTTATTGCCAACAACACTATGTAAAAGCTAGATCTCTCCCTCCCACAAACATAAAGCCAAATAAATAGATGCTATACCTTAGTTGGGAATGCAAAATGTAAACCATGTTGTAATAACATTGATGGAATTCAAAAGCTTAAAAGATCCGAGACAAAGAAGGGTTGTCTTTAAATATGCAATCCATCGTAACATTCCATTATCAGATTGCAGTTGAGGAATGGAACAAATGAGTAATGGGTACAGAATGTTATTATAGGAGAAAGTTCAAAATACAGGTTTCCTTATTCATTCATTCTTTTTCTATTTTTTCACCTGTCCTTCAAGTTCAGAATCTGTCCCTATAAACCTTCCAGTCCTCCTGTTTTCTTTTATTATTCATTCATGGGATAAGGGTTTCGCTGGCTAGGCCAGCATTTATTGCCCATCTCTAATTGAACACAGGGCAGTTGGCACCACATTGCTGTGAGTCTGGAGTCACATGTAGGCTAGAGCAGATAAGATAAGGATGGCAGATTTCCTTTCCTAAAGGCATTAGTGTACCATATAGGTTTATCCAACAATTGGCAATGGATTCATGGTTATCATTAGACTCTTACTTCCAGATTCCTTTTGTATTGAATTCAAATTCCACCATCTACTGTGGTGGGATTCAAACCCCAGCACCCAGAACATTCCTATGTCTCTGAATTAACAGTCCAGTGGTAATATCACTAGGCCATTGCTTCCCCCATCCGCATGTTACCACACAAATGCTCTTTGTGAACTATTCAAGAATTCACTGACACCCTGACTGACGTGAGTTAATTCACCACACTGCGCTGACTGAGCCTTGCACTGACCTGGCCTTCATATCTCAATATCAACCAGCAGCTCGCTTCCATATTGAAAATACAAGGAAAGATCTTAGCGTCTTATCACATCCTTGAGAAACAGCCCAAAGCGCTTCACCTACAATTATTTCCTTCAAAATACAGTCACTTGAGCAATGTACAGAAATACAGTAGTAATTCCACACACTATGAGGTTCCACAAGCAGCAATGAGGTGAACAACTAGCTAATCTGCCTGCAGTGGCATTTTTGAAGGAAGAATTCCAGCCAGAAGATTGGGAAACCTCCCTCCCTGCTCTTTAAGATAGTTCTGTGGATCAATAAAGTATACTTCAACAGTTAGACGAGGCTCAGTTTAACAAGTTACCTAAAGTACAAGTCCTCCAACCATGCAGTACCCTCTCAGTAATTCATTGTCACTTAATCCAGTTAATGATTTGAGGTGTTTACCATTCATGTGCTCCTTGTCTGCAATTTTATGGTTCTTTCCTTGAAACGTCCTTAATTTTCAAAATATTAGTCACAATCACAATATGCTTTCCTGCCTTCCAAATCAGTTACACATGATGCAGGAATTAAATTCACTCATCTTTGAGGTATTTATTAATTTGATTATGGACTGAATTTTAGCTCTTCTGATATACCTGTCACATGTCACTATTTACAGATATTTTTCCATAAATATGATTTGAATGTGATTTGCACAATGATAGTGTTGGCCATGTTTCTAAGGTGGCAATCCTGAAGCCTGCACTGGTCCATCAACACAAGTTTTAATCCCACCAAACTGAATGGAGAATTTCACGGAATCACAAAACTGTTACGGCACAAAAAGAAGCTATAGTGCCTGTGCCGTTACTATTATCTAGTACTAATCTCCTGCGTTTTCCCCATGGTCCTGCAGAGGTTCCTGATAAAAGCCTGAGAGAGTGTTGGGAACATCAGCTAAACTCTAATAGCGGCAGGATAGTTCAGTGGTTAGCATTGCTGCTTCATAGCATCAGGGACCTGGGTTTGATCTATTTCTCGCACTCTGTTTCAGCCCCTCTGTTTCTCGCACTCTGTTTCAGCCCCTCTGCTTCAGCCCCTCTGTTTCTCGCACTCTGTTTCTTGCACTCTGTTTCAACCCTCTGTTTCTCACACTCTGTTTCTCGCTCTCTGTTATAGCCCCTCTGTTTCTCGCACTCTGTTTCTTGCACTCTGTTTCAGCCCTTCTGTTTCTCGCACTCTGTTTCTCGCACTCTGTTTCAGCCCCTCTGCTTCAGCCCCTCTGTTTCTCGCACTCTGTTTCTTGCACTCTGTTTCAACCCGCTGTTTCTCACACTCTGTTTCTCGCTCTCTGTTACAGCCCCTCTGTTTCTCGCACTCTGTTTCTTGCACTCTGTTTCAGCCCTTCTGTTTCTCGCACTCTGTTTCAGACCCTATGTTTCAGGCCCTCTGTTTCAGCCCCTTTGTTTCTCGCACTCTGTTTCTCGCAATCTGTTTCTCGCACTCTGTTTCAGCCCCTCTGTTTCTCGCACTCTGTTTCTTCCACTCTGTTTCTTGCACTCTGTTTCAGCCCTTCTGTTTCTTGCAATCTGTTTCTCGCACTCTGTTTCAGCCCCTCTGTTTCTCGCACTCTGTTTCAGACCCTACGTTTCAGCCCCTCTGTTTCTCGCACTCTGTTTCTTGCACTCTGTTTCAACCCGCTGTTTCTCACACTCTGTTTCTCGCTCTCTGTTACAGCCCCTCTGTTTCTCGCACTCTG